ACATCAAGTACCTTGAGGAGGTAGTACTTCTCTGGGTCAAGAGGGTGTCTGCTGGAAAACCCAATGTCTGGTAACAGAACTCTGCATTATACTGCACAAGCAGTAGAACCCAGTCTATGGTTTTCAGATAATTTCTGCGGCCACATTACCTTTTACATCTGGCCACCTAACTTCCAAGACTGCAACCCCTTGATTATTATGTATGGAGTGCAATTGAGCGAAAGACCAACAAAACTTCTTGTAATATCAAAGATGAAATGAAGGCAAGGATTATGGCAGCATTCACCGGCTTAAACAAGGAGACCATCCAGAAGAGTTGAAAGAGATTCCGAAGCCATCTGGAGGCCGTGATTGAAGTCAGTGGCGATTTTATGAACACATTTGCTCTTTAGTATTTCAACATATTTTTGTGTAATTTTGGTAAATGTATCTGTTAAAATGAGATGGCAGTGTTATTTTTTATTTTAGCCTAATTTAGACGATAATTTATCCATCGCACCCTGTACATTCATTGAAACGCACACACATATATTACTATGTAAAACTAGTATATATATTTTACTATATATATTACTATGTAAAACTAGTATATATATTTTACTATATATATTACTATGTAAAACTAGTATATATATTTTACTATATATATTACTATGTAAAACTAGTATATATATTTTACTATATATATTACTATGTAAAACTAGTATATATATTTTTACTATATATATTACTATGTAAAACTAGTATATATATTTTTTACTATATATATTACTATGTAAAACTAGTATATATATTTTTTTACTATATATATTACTATGTAAAACTAGTATATATATACATACATACATACATACATATCTATCTATCTATCTATCGAGCTAGCTAGCTAGCTAGCCTTTTCGCTATCTATCTATCTAGCTAGCAAGCTAGCTAGCCTTTTCGCTATCTATCTATCTATCTATCTATCTATCTATCTATCTATCTATCTATCTATCTCATCATCATCTATCTATCTGTATGTGAGTGTGTCTATACTATTTTTAATGTAATCAATGATATCAATAATAATGCTAATAACAGGTGAAATGTTCCTGGGAAAATCTGATGATCAAATATCGATTTTTATAAAATCTAAAACTAAAATTTGCACAAATTTCAACATTGAAATTCTTCCGTATTGAAAAAAAAGAAGGAATATTCAGTGGTCATGAATTAACGCAAGCCTAACTGACATAATAGGTCTATTATAGATTTGATATATTACATATTACATAGTTTCAAGTATTTTTCATAATGATTTATTGATATAAATTCAGATTTGCACAGTAAGAGATTATCTAACTTCTATCATCATCATCATCATCATCATCATCATCATCATCATCATGCCCATGAATGAGTGTTGTTATAGAGTCGCTGCTTAGATAGGCACCTAAACATTTTCCCCCCATATATCTCGGTTGCGTTCCAATGTCTGAGTCTCTGTGAATGATATTCCAATTCGCTTAATGACGTTGTCAGCCCATTCTTTCCTCTGATTGCATTGTGGAATCTTGCAAGATAGAAGTGGAAAGACTGTTTGCTTTTATGACGTATCTATATAATTTCATCTCTCCCTTATTTGACGGTGTATATGAGGTCTTCTAATGAACCCGTTTGATGGTACCTTGCACTGTGTCATTTGTAATGTGTTCCACATAAGCATGTCTAGGATGGTTCTGCAGAATTTTATTTCTAAAGTTTGGATTCTTCGTTGTAATTTTTCTGTTAATGTCTAATATTGGCAGGTGTCGAGAAAGACCGAGAAGGAGAAATGCACGCAAAAGGATGATTATTTGATTCCAGGCAGATGATCTTGCCTTTCAAGATGGTTCTTAGTTTTTCGACTGTTCTCATTGTTTATGCTACTCTTGAAATTATTTCTATTCTAGAGTTTTCTTCGCTGATAATCAAATCGAGATATATGAATTGGCTCGCTTGCTTTAAGTTCCTGATCAATGACTTTTATCTTGCTTTAAAACCCTTTCTCATTGTTCGTCATGAGTTTGTTTTTAGGCATTAATCTCCATAGATTAATCATTTAATTTCCATTAATTGGTAATAAAGAATTGTCTTTGAATTCCATCAAACGCAAAGAAGAAACTTTGCCTTAGCAGATTCCGTTAAACTTTTCCCTAGCAGACCTTGACGGAATCTGAATTTAGCCGTGATTTTCTTCGATTTTTATAATATTTTTTAATCGTTTCATCGAAAGCAAGGCGATAATGACACAGGGGGGTTTACATGGATTGAAAGAGAATGAAAAGAATTTCGGTTGGAGTATTGTGAAAAGAACAATAAAGGAACAGGTTTCAAGAAGACAGAAGCTGGCGATGGTTGTGGCATTTCAATTTTTTAAGATTGTAGGTTTCAGAGAAGCAAGTAATGTTTTTTTTATCATCAGAGAATGACTCACAAATAACATTTTTTGTGTTGACAAATCTTTAAACGATGACTGATATTTAATTCTCTAAGTTCATTTGAGATCCCTTTTGCTAGCTTCTGAACTTTTACTTCGTCTTGGAAACAACTCATCACAACTGAGTAATTACACAAGATAGGAATAAACTTAAAAAAAATACGATTTTAAGATTTCTTTAGAATTATGCAAAGGATGACACTAGGAATTTCCGAAGATTTCTTTAGAATTATGAAAAAGGATGACACTTGGAATTTCCGAAGATTTCTTTAGAATTATGCAAAGGAAGACACTTGGAATTTCAAATTTTCAAATCGTTCATTATTTCGCTATCAAATTGATTTTTGTTTTTTCCTCCCGGACAAATGGGAGAAGAAAATAATAGGAAAATTAATGTCCTTTGTTTTTAGTCTCGTATTTGAGTTTAAGAATGTGAGTTATCGTAGCTGGTAATCTATGTTATAAAAGAATGAACTGATTCTCTGTCATTTATTGTCTGGCTGTGAGTTTGCATGCGCTTATGTAATGTATATGCGCATGTCCGTGTTGTGCAAGAACACACGGACAACTAATTGGTTGAGGTTGAAATAAAACATTGAAATAATACATCAACCTCCCATTCAATCTGGACAGTTCACATCCTCGGCCAAGCAATAAAATCGTAGTTGAAGACAAAGGAAAAAAAACAACAACAAAAAACAAAATAAAATTAAAAAAATACTTATGTCACTTTCTTTACATGTGTGTATAAATGTGAAGTAAAATAAAAAATAAATGATCAGTTTTTCTTTCGCTTACTTACATTGAAAGAGGTTCAGTATCTTATCGGTAATTATTTTCACTATCTTCTGCTGTGTCTGGTAATAGGTTGGTCTTTTTGTGTCTGTCTATATCAGCCTATCAATGTTTATCATATACCAGTGAGAAAAGCGAGGATGAAAAAAGAGAGGAGCGATAACCGGTTGGGTCATTTCTTTTCCTTTCTCTTCTTTCGTATTAAACTACTGTAGTTGCTTTCCTTTTTATCTTTTATTATGCCTGTTTTGTTTGATATATATATATATATATATATATATATATATATATATATATATATATATATATATATATGTGTGTGTGTGTGTGTGTGTGTGATGAAATATAGTTTTAAGGTGTGCTATATTTATGGGATAAAGTGCTCAATATCAAAAATAGAGCGTATAGAATTATAAAAGTGAACATAAAAGTGTTGTCTTCAATGTTCACTTATATCTATCTAGCTATCTATAAAATTTGGGGTAAATATGTTTAAGTCTATTATTGAATTAAAATATTTTAGTGCATGATTTGAATGAAATTGAAATGGAAATCTGTGTCACCAGGTCTAATTTCCATTTCTGTCTAGCACGAATTCCTTGTATAAAAAGAAAAGAGTATAAGTTGAAATGTGACCATTTGCACTTATTTAAATGACTTCCTTTGTATTTAACCTGAATATATTATCTAATATATGTAGTATTTTAAATGTACATACAATTTATATTTGAAAATTGATCATCTTGTCGTGAGCAAAGCGCCGTTTATAGAAGTAGTAATTAAACAATTTAGACCAAAACTGCGTAAAGATTAAAAGCTACGGCCTCTAATGTCTTTTTTTTCATTCTCTGGAAAGGACGCGCAGCCTGTTCAAGATGTTCCTTTTTCTTGGTTGTTGGGTTATTGTAGCACTTGATGGTAGGGAAGGCAATAGATGCGGATATTCATAGGTCATCTACTTTATCTATTGTTATTTGCCTAGGTAAGAGTAGCAAATTGCAGCTTTATCTTTTGTTATTTATGATAGAGTCTTAGGCAGGCTTATATTTTTGTGTTCATCTATTCATCAAATGGAAAAGATAACTTTCTTTACGAGGGAAAGTTCAGAGATGGTTGAGAGGTATAGATTATCATTATACATTTTACTTTCATGTCATTTTGATTTTTAAAGATTAAATGGCTGACTGCAAGGGTGATGTTATTTTTATTAAGGTTAAACTGAAATATTTGACCCTCGTGAATAGATGGCAACCAGTATTTGAGTTCGTTAATTATTCTTTTCTGGGCCAGTAATCGAACTCTTTAGCGAGCGTTTATAGGTCTTTGAATTGGTTTTCGCTCTGAATAAAAGAAATGAAACCAGAAAAAACTGCTGAAAATCGAATTGTTAACAGGAGACTGTTTTTATTTTTATTTTTTTTTTACAAAAGACAAACAAAACGGAAATAGATATTCACAAACGATCAAAACAGAATAAGAAAACCAATAATAAAAAATCAGTCACGGGGAAGATTTATTTCAAGTTATTATTTGAAAACAAATTCCAAGATAATGACATCTTTTTTTACACAAAACCAGGATCATTACGAAACAATTCAATTGTTTGTATTAATCAATTATTCTTTTCATACTCGTCTGATCATCTCCATATGTATTCATTTTCCATTTCAATACACGCATAGTAACATTCCCCTACATATGTCAGGTCAATCTACTAGTGCTACTGGTATCATGTGACCCTCTATACTTACGGCCACATCACGTTGAAACACCGCTTCCCGTACGATCACCGAAGTTAAGCAACGTCGAGCATGTTAGGTAATTAGATGGATAACCGTTTGGGAATACCAGATGCTGTAAGCTTGGATGTGCGGGTGGTGTAATGGATAATGTGGTATAATTTTTAGTTGGAGAGCCGTGTTCCAATTCCAGTTGGGTTAGTTATATTCACTTACGCGTAAATACATTTGGGAAAGTCATGAATCCAGCTCTTCTCCGCCAACTATGGATTAATTAGTAAAATTGGCTCTCATTTGCATGAAGATGAAGGAATACAACTTAACAATTGTTTCATCAAGAATGTTCTTCCATTCATCTTGACATTAATTCCTATCACCATTGTTCAGTTAAGATTCAGTTTTCCATTGATCTTTATTAACTTTTGTGTATCATTGCCTTTTGCACAGACAAATTTATTAAAACCCTGATATTTGGAAGAAACTAGTCAGATGCTTAGCAGTGCAATGACCCTACGATTACACCCGCTTCGTGGGACTGATGATGATGATGATGATGATGATGATGATGATGATTTTCCCCCAAATTTATTTTTATATTTACGGACATTAAAAGCCGTAATCGGTATAGTTCTAATCTGCACGAAGTACACCGTCGACTTAACGTGGAATGGACGAATGCAACTTAACAATTGTTTCATTAAGAGTGTTCTGCCATTCCACTTAACAGTAAATCCTAAACCCTTACAAATTCCTTGGATTTCTTTTTATACATTCGAGTTTTCAACTCTTTCCACTACGTTCGTTATTATCAAGACTTTGGGCAGGTCAATCTTGTAAAACTGAAATCTCTTTATTAATGAGAAAAGTTTATGTTACACACGATATATGGCAAGATGATACATCATATATAGGAATATTTCACCTTCTGCTGTGTCTGGCAATGGGTGGGACTTAAGCGACGTAATATATTTTCCGCGGTTCAGTTTTCCGTCGATTTTTATTAACTTTTTTTGTACCATTGCTTTTGACATAGCTCAAATTATTAAAACTCTACCACCGAATTTTAATGATTTTGTAATTTTTGGATTGATTCTTGTACAAAGTTGTTTTCGGACATATTCTATTGCATTAAAATTCTGTTTGATATTCTTCACTAAATATCACTTTTACCCATTTTTCATTATCCGATAATAGATGTTCTTTTGCCCAGTGTTTTTGTCTTATTTGATATTTTGGGTTAATGGTGGCTTTTTTTCTGCTGCACTGCATCCATTTAGGGATATTTTCACTTACATTATTTACATTATTCGGACTATTGTCCTAATCTTTGTCGCCATATTTATCACAACATTTCGGCCGTTGTACGCTCCGGCCTTCTTCAGGTGGTTGGAATTTCGAACTGGACCCTTTATTTCGCTCACTGGGGTAGACTGTTCTAGTTCCACGTGCCATGTTTGATGGATGTCAGTTATCAGTTATCTCCTGCTAATTTCCCTCTGAAAGTTCTCCACTGCCTTAACCGGGTATTGAACTCACACTCTTTGAGTCCTGTCACTGGATCTAACCAACGCCTTTATCCACTGTGCCGTGTGTCCTCAAGGACACATGGCACAGTGAAATAAAGGGTTCAGTTCGAAATTCCAACCACCAGAAATATAGACATATTTTCACTTAGTCTCCTTCTTAACGCTTACATTAACATTTTAGTTGTAATCCTGAATTCATGCATTTAGTTGTCAAACTGTTTATTTTGGGTTCGATATCTGATAAAGCCAGTAACTTTCTTTGATAAGTTTCGTCTAATTTCGAAAGTCTACCAGTGTTTCTCATGTCCAAAAAGCTTGTAACATCAGCATGCATATTCTGGTTGACTTGAGCAACATGCTTTGATATAACAACAACGCAGCGATTCCACGTTAACTCATTCTTTGTGACATTTCGATAATTTTCATCTTCTTCTCCAAGTATATTCTTCCCGTTTTTTTTTTAAAATGAAATCATTTGCATTAAAGAGAGAAGTTGAAGGTTCCAGATTTGATGCAATCTGTCTTTGATCATCTAACCTCAGAAATTGGCATTGGGGTGGGGTTGATATTAATGTGGAGCGGGGTCAAGTGGCTCATCACTTTTTTATAGATACAAATATTTAAATAAATGCTCTGTTTTATCATAAACAGTATTAACAACATTTACCTGCCTGAATGTCCGAGAAATTGTCATAGAAAATATGCGTCCTCCGACAGGAATCGAACCTGTATCCTATACGGAACCGTCATATAGCCTGACGTGCCTTTACCGATTGAGTCACAGAGTAGCGTTTCGGTTAGCAAGGTCGATTTTACTGTTTTTAAACTACAATTCTCCATGATTTTCTCACGTACATTCATATCTGCTCGATGCGTATCCAAATGTAAACAAATGACGTCACGCATTATGAAATGGACAAATATATATATATATATATATATATATATATATATATATATTACAACAACAAAATCCCAAATTACCTCACATGGGGTATAGATCTATTTCAACTAACAAGAAATACGTTAGTCATATTCAACTCCGTAGCGTTTGAGACTGTTAACTGTTGATTTTTACGGAATGAAGAAGATATCTCTGTGTTGTTCTTTTATTCTACTGCTTCTCTACTGAGCCCGCTTGTGGTGGAAGGGTCGTTTTTATAATGATGAAATTCCAGATTTTAGAATGATTAAATATTTTATCTTTATTTCCAGGATGATGAAATATCCTTATTATCAATCATCACTGGTGAAAAGATTGTTTTTAGAATGATGAAATATTTATTTTTATTTTCAGGGTGATGAAATATCATTATCTTATATCATCACTAGTGGAAAGATTGTTTCAGAATGATGAAATGTCATCATCATTCTGGATCATAACAAGTCTACTACAATCGTTACAATTCTGAAATATCTACCCATTCATTTCCGTCCATCCTGATTCAAAAGTGTTCAATTTTCGAGTGAAGTCGCCATTTGTAAGTTGCTCATCTTCTAGTGAACTCATTGTTTTATGTCCTTTGCTTTGCGCAGGCGTCTGTCTGTCAGATGATACTGAACACAAAGCACAACGTCACTCTAAATGGAAATTATATTCATTCACAAAGCTCAAAGCCAAGAAAGGATGATTCATAGTGAAAATAAGAGGAATTTTGTGAATTAAATAACGTTTCAATCATTTATGAATGAACCAATGAATGTCGCTATTGATTTAATATTTACTAAGCTTAGCTCAGTCTAACACTGGTCACAATAGTTGGGCTCTCATTGAGGAACAAATACAATAGATAAATGAATGTTAAAACTTACTTAACCTGGAAATTCTGTTATGATTCAACTTTGATAAATCCGCTTCGACATGACTGATAAAAGCACGACCATTATCTCTGCACAGGAAATGTAATGTTTATTAGCATAGAACATGGAATTGGTAAACCACGTTCGATTTCTATAGTGCGCTTTTGAGATTCATTTACGACTAATTCCTTTGAGAAAGGTAAAAATTCACATTCATTTTTTTTATAACCAGATCATGAGCGTTTACAGAGAGCGGGTGAGTGGGCCTTTGAGCAAACCACTCACCAGTAACTACGTTATTTCCCAGTCATAGACCACTATGAATCATTGTATGAATCAATAAGCTACCAGTAAAATTCAAGATATCTTCTTCTTCTTCTTCTTCTTCTTCTTCTTCTTCTTCTTCTATGTGCCGTGTGAGCGATCATAGCTCTCCATAATTTCCTGTCATTTGTAGCTCTTGTTTTTTTGCTACCGCTCCTAATCCCTGTTCTGCCAACCATTTTACACAAGCTCGTTTGGTAGGTTATGTACAGCTTTCCCCTCTCTCTCTTACCTTCAATATGTTCTGTGAGTGTCAAATTTTCTAAGCCCTCTTTCCTCATCATGTGTCCTGGAAACTGTTGTCTCTTCCTGATGTTAAGTATAAGTGTCCTTTTTGTTTCCATTTTCTCTAAAATTTTGTAGTTGCTCACATGTTCAGTCCATACTATTCTCAATATCCTGCTGTAGAACCATAGTTCTGTGACCTTAAGTCACTTATTCTGTGATGAGATTGTTCCGCATTTACTACCATATGGGAGGACCGATATTGGATAACATTATATTGGATAATACTTTCTTTATTTCTAATTAAATTTTCCTGTTTCGTAATACTTTGCTTAACTTTTGGAAGGCATCTTTCGCTATCTAAATGCGTTTGCGGATTTTGGTGCTCCATTTTCTGTTCTCTGTTAGAACATTTCCTAGATATTTAATTTTTTTTACTTGCTTGATTTTGGTATCTCCAATTCCTTATCAGCATTTTGGGGTGTTCCTCTTTCTGACAACCATACATTCATTTTTACAATTGATGTTTAGTCCTTTCTGATCTCCTTTGCTAATTATGGAAGAGTTCCTGTAGTTTCATTTAAATTCCTAATTGAGGATATTTTTTTTCTTTTTTTTTATACTTATTTTTCACGCCTCTGTTTATTTGTGTAAGTGAATCCTATACGAGGTCTGGTGGGCAGATATCTCTCTATATTGAATATCCCAAGAACTGTTTACGCAGTCTTAACGTAATTCAGTAGCCAGCGAGAATGAAATATATTGCGCATGTGTAAACCGACACTGTTCTGATGGTTACACTGTCGGCAGTGAAACATCACGTTGAAACACCAGTTCACGTCTAATCACCGAAGTTAAGCAACGGTGAATATTGTCAGTACCTAGGTGGGTGACCGTTCAGGAATATTTTAAGCTTTAAAAAAGTAGGTGGTGTAATGGATAAAAGCTCGGAATGAGAAATCGGAGAGCCGAGTTCAAATTCCAGTCGGGTTCATTATATTCACTTACGTGTAAATACCTTAGTAAAGATTTGAATCCACCATTTCTTCTCCCAGCTATTTGTTAAATAGTAAGACTTGTATCAGAGAATCATTATTATAGCCAAAAAAAAAACAAAAAAAAAAAAAAAAAAAAAAACAAAACAAAAAACAACTTACAACCCAAAAATATGTTTCGGTTTTAAATAACAATAAAAGGTTGATAAGCCATAAAAAACAATTCAATAAGTCAGCAGCGAAACACCACTG